AAGCTGTCATCATCCTCAGCCTCTTCCACGGGCTTCTCCTCATCCTGGGAGGAGTCCGAGGAGGACATCTCCAGCGACCCTGAGCGCACCCTGGACCAGGCACCGGCCTTCCTGCAGACCCTGGACCAGCAGAAGCCTCGAGTGGTGAGTCTTGCACCAACCCTGGGGAGGTGTGGTGAGGGCTCACAGTATCTGTGCTCTGAGGCAAAGCTGCGGTGGGAGGGCAGAGGTCTGTCCTAGCAGAAGTCTGCACAGAAACTTTCTGTTTGCTCGGCAGTGCTTGCTTTCCCTCACATCAGAAGTTTATTCCTAGTCTGAAAATCCACTGCTCACAGGAGAGAGCAGAGGTAGCCGTCCTGCCGTACACGGTCCCTGCAGAGCTTCACTGGTGCTGCAGCCTGCCCGCTGACGAGCTTAAAGTGTGCCCACAGACTGCAGTCTGCTGCTGACATGTAGTTACCAGCTCTCAGCACAGCTTCCCTGGGTGCTAGAGGTTTCCCATGATTTACATGAGCCTAAGGAAGAATTTATTTCCTCCTTGAAGGCGAAACTGTGTGGGCCGGCAGTCTGTTGAAATTTACACTGATGCCCATCACCATAGTGTCTGTGTGCTTTTCACATGGAAGCAAAATCTCTAGAATTTCTGGTAATTCGCCTTTTGAATAAAACTTTTTGCCTGTAGGGTATCTTACATTTTAGGTAAGCATATTTTTCTTAGATATTTATATTACATTTTCTGGATCTTCATTCGTTGTGAGACTGGTTGAGAGGCTTCAGGTGAGAGGAAGCATCAGTGTTGTGTTACCTGTAGAGCAGAAAGGCCTCCTCGGAGAGGAAGACTTTGAAGCGCTCTCCAAAGGCAGAGACTCATGGGATTTCTTGCATCACTTGGGGAGTCTGTTCCATGTCTGAGTGCTCCACAGAGAACATGCTTTGTCCTGAGCTGTCACACCATTTATCCAGAGGGCTTTGAAACACTTTACCTGTGTAGGGAGCCCATCACGAGGTTCTCCGACCAGCATGTGGGCTCTTCAGTCTTCTGGCTATGGGACATTACATGGATTTGAGCTCAGCACTGGGGCCTTATGCTGACAAGCCCTGAAAAATGCAGGGCAACCCAGTGGCTCCTTAATTTTAAAGAGTTTGGTAAAGGCCCATCAACTTTCAGTGGCGTGCTTCACTATGTTTAACTTTCCGTAGACACATGATTGTGGAAATCTTGCTAAGCTCTATGACATGAGGAAGACCAGGGCAGGGAAACATCTAAGTAAAGCAAAAGCATCAAACTCATAAACTGACGGACTGTGGTTTGTAAAATACGCAGCAGGCTGAAATAAGTATCTTTGCTTTTCTGCTTGTTTTGCCCTGTTCCAAGAACTCAGGCTCAGTTCTGCTCAGGATGGAGAAGCAGTTGAGTAAAAGCACGATTAATGAAGTTACGAGTCTGTGGCTCATTGTGTTTGCAGGCAGTTTTGTCTTTTGGGGCTCTCAATTGATGAATCAGCTTGCTCCCTTTGGGAGCTGCTACAATCCCTTTGCTGATTAAATTCTGCTGGTTTTGTGTGCATGAGCTGTAGTAATCTCTGCTCTATTCTCCACACTAATGACTGTTCCCAGTGCCAGATCCCACTGGTTTGCTGCTGAAAAGAGTTCTCTGATGGGCAAAATCATGCCTGATGCTCTTGTGGAAAGCTTTGTGGAGCCTCAAGCTGATTCTGCACAGCCTCCCGTGGCCTCCAGCGAGCTCAGCCAGGCCGACAGCTCAGCGGTGAACAGGCAAGGCTCGTTTGTGTTGCCAAAAGGCCTGGATCAGAGCAAGCTCAGATCAGATCTAAGATCAGAGTAGCACTGCTGGGCTCAGTAGGACTACTCCAGGCTAATCGAGATGAAGATCGGGTCCAAAACATGTCAGGCAGCCGGAGGACGTGCACTTGATTTTGTAGTTCAGTGCTGGAGTCGTCTCAGCAGGAGCAGCTGGGCTGATGTACAATTGTGCTTTCTGCTGGGCTCCACAGGTCCCGTGCAGCGCTGATCACCGGCTTTGGGAGGCTGTAGTCAACTTCTCAGCGGGATTGTGCACAAATGCCCAGTAATTCAAAGCTGATTCATATAAGTACACCCAAATTTGTGTACCAGTTGGCAACATCTTTTAAATCCATAATGACAGCAGAAGGCAGCTACTGAAACAGTCTCAGGTTGCACACTCATTTGTTTTCATGAACTCACCATTTCCTTTCAACAGCACACACAGTCTGGAAATCAGTTGTGTAAGGAGGGAGAATGTGTGAGAAGCTCTCTCTGCAACTTATGCTTTTCTGTCCACATAAATCCTGGGACACCTCGGCTGACAGAGAACAACGTTGTGCCTCTGAGTTGAGTAGATGAATGCTGAGCAGGCAGAGAGCCCTGCCCATCTGTAGCGGGTGCTGCTGGCTCAGGGGAGGAGGGCTCTTGTACCTGGAGGAGAGGTAATGACAAGCCACAGAAAAGCAGTTCTTGCTGCAGATATGGTCTGCGCTGCACATCTCATACAGCATATTTACAGATCTGCTAAACAGCAGGCTTGCTTCTGCCTTTCCTTTCTGGAGGCTGCCTGACTTAACAAATCTGTTAGGGATGTCCGGCTGTCTGTCGTAGTTCCTCCCGATGTCCCCGGGAAACAGGCAGATCCCTTCAAGCTGGCATGGACTCATGCTCCCTTTGTACTCCAAGTAGGAAACTTTTTGCGATGAGGCCGGCAAATTGCACAGAAGGAAAATTACATTGCCTAGGGAAAGGAAGGGAGGGAAGTAGGGAGGGAGGGAGGGAGCGTGGACATTTTGTTGGACACTGTGACCTGGAGCAGCCCAGTGGCTGATACACAGGGTCTGCCTTTGTTTATCGAGGCAGTTTGCTCAGTAGGTTGCCTGTCCCTGCAGTGCTCTGGTGCCCAATGGGCTGTGCAGCGCTGGGGTGCGGTGACCCAACCGTGACTGCAGCAGACTTCTGAAGCACAGTGACAGTAAGAACAACTTGACGTTCTGCTGTTGCCCAATTGAAAGTCCACTTAAGGTTTGAGTAAACCTCCGCATGAGGGCTTTTGCAGCTGTAGCTTTCCCTGAGCTGTGGGCTGCTGCCAGAGAATCCCCACGCTTGTTTATTGACGCTTGCAAAGTTTCGAAGACACTTGAGCAATTACACTTCTCGGGCTGTGTGGGAGGGACAGCCTGTCCGGGCCGCATGTTGAGATGGGGACATGCGGTTTGATATCGCCACAGGGCAGCGCTGGCTGCACGCCCCCTGCGACAGCGACGCAGTTTGGGGAAGGAAGGGGTGCCTCCGCCCACCCACCGCCCAAGCTGGAGGGATGCAGCTGCTACTGGAAGGTGCCTGCCCCCAGCACGGTGCATCTCTTGCCAAGGGAGGATTTTCCCCTCCTGGCTGATCATACAGGTCAGGTGTGCAGGGGAGGGAGGAGGTGCTACCTGTCCCAGGCTTCCAGGGCACAGGTAGTCTGAGACATCAGCCCATCTCCTAAGGGGGATATCACACCCAAAATAAGCCTCGTTCTAGCAGTGACTCCCATTGACTTCAGTGGGAAAATGTGAGTCTGTGAGTTTTACTCTTCCTGAGGGACCCCATTTGCTTTTCCCAAGCAAGAGCTGATAGACCGAGGTGTACTCAGCAGCAGGAGGTTTGGCCCCAAACTTGGAAGCCCTTCAGTGAAGGATGTTCCAATGCTGATCATTACAGAGTTGTAATTGACTGAAATCCTCCAGTTTGTCAATTCCTTAGCAAAAGGAGACAAAGCAACAGAGGAGTGGGGAGGAAGGCAGAAATTGTTCAAGTACGTGCTATAGAAAAATGACACATCAAGGGGCAAAAAACCAGCCTCCTGGAAAAACAGCGCAAGATGATGCACTGTTCCTCTTCCTGGCTTTCCCACAGCTGCTGTGGAAACACAAGGACATAGGGCAGAATAGTAATCAAACGACTCTCGGTACATCGTGAAACCTCTGCTCCTTTCAACAGGCAGAGCAGCTTGCTCGGAGTGAGAGACTTCCATTAACCTGTGCAAAATGGCAAGAGTTTTTGGAAAAAGCTAATGGCATTGCTGCTGACAGGCAATTTTTTAATTCGTTTATTTGTTTGAGTCACAATGGCTGTAACGCATTTCTGAAAGGAGCCAAGTTTAGATAGGATTAGTGTCAGCCAAGGGCCTGTGGGACCCTTGCTTATTTCTCCGTGAGCTGTTCCAAGGCCTAAGCTGAAAACAGCACTCCTGATTTGTTCCTGTGAAAATCAATCAAATGAAATAGGCTTTAATTCCCTTTCCTAGCTGTCAATGTGATCAGGAAGTCTCCGTGTAACAGAAGCCATGACCACATGGCTATGGTGATGCATGCAAGCCCAGTGAATGCATGTCTTTGTGCTGACTGTGTTTATGTATTTTACTCCTTCCTCCCACCATGTTCATCTTAAAAGCTTATGAGCTTGTGAGTGGTTTCACCAATTTAGTATCAATATAATATCTAGCATATCAGAGCCCTGCATGCTTGCTCTGAAGAGCGACTGTTACTCTAGTAACGCGGGTGTTTGCCTAGGGAAGGTGCGTAGCACACGGGGTAAGCTGCCAAAGGATGGAGTTTCCTTCAGCCTTGCTGTGGAAAGACCAGGAGGAAAAGGAGAATCAGATGGACACCTCTGTGTTTCCACACTCAGAGCAGACCTGACAGCGTGGTGGATTTTGTCAACAGGGATGAGATCAAGAGCTCACAGTGCCTGGTGGGGCTGGGCAGAGCTTTAAGCTCTTTGTAGATGGAGGCTGTGCTCTCTGGGAAGTTCACAGAGCACCACTCTCCACATGGTGTCTTATCTTCGACCTACTCATGTGGCCTTCTTGGGGAATAAGCAGCTTTTTCGCAGGCTCCCACCCACGGAGGCTAAGTGAAGATGCTGCCATAACTCAATGAGAGACAAACGATGCTATTTCAAGTCCGTTTTCATCAGCGCTTCATTGGGAGGGTTTTTTTTTCTCTGCTCACTTTCTCCATGATTGGCAGTGCAGGAATTACATGGCACAAAGCAGATCCTTTTCATAGAGGCACTTACTTGCTAGCATAGCTGCTGTCTCTTGCATATTTTGTTTCTCTTAACAGTTTCAC